TGAGAGGCAAGGAACCAAAAATTTACATACAAATAGATCAGATCGGTAAAATGAATGTGCTCGCGACACTAAGGTTTGGAACAAGTCTAAAGTCCAGAGATGGACGAACAACCATAACTTTTCAACCGGAGTTTACAGCCCGTGAATGCGAAGAAGAAAAAGAAGAAAATATCATTTTTTTTTATTCCGGTGTGCCATGGTTTGAGGTTTGAACAAGGGATCACGATCATGAAACACGGGTAGGAACCTATAAATGCCCCGTTCTTCTTCTAAATCAAACCTGAGTCCGAAGAAGCTCAGCACAGTGCACAGGCTCTGTAGCACGGGCGAGGATCCTGAAAATACTTTGGGTAGATTATTAACTCAGATTTTTTGCCCGGGCAGCGCCGTTAGGCCACTCTTTTCTATTTCCAACTGCCAAGGGACTTTTCACATGGGCAACAATGCACACGGGCGTCTGATTTCACTATCCAGAGACCAGGGGGAATTACTAGAAGTGATCCCCGTGTGGTTTCCAGTGCCTTATTAAAGGGAAAACAAGAATGGACCCACTGCCTACCCAAAAGCATGTCGTAAGAGTAGACTAATTGGGAGCTTCCTTCGAAGTCGGAGTGCATCTGCCTGAGAGTCAATAAACCAACAGTCTGCATACAAATTAGTTAGATATGTAAAACGGATGCACACGCAACACTCAGGTTCTGGAACAGGACTGCAGTCCGAAAGTGGACTAACAACCATAACTTTTCGCAGGACTTTACAGCCTGTGAACGCGATTAAGAAGAAGACTATAAGTCCAAGTCCACGTGAAAAAATCCCAGCACTTACTAGGGATTGAACTCAGAACCTCTGGCCCTCGAGGCGGACACATTGCTTCGAGATAACGCACTCTTCCTATGTGCCATCTTCACAAGTAATCGCAGGTCCAACTTCATAACAAACGGGTCACCTCATAGTTGTTCTTTTTCTGTGCCAACGAAAACCAAACAGAATTACCATCATTGCCTTTTGTGAAAACCTGACACAGACTGCAGTCTCATCAAAACCAACAGCATAAACAGATATTAAATGCATAAGGCAGCTATAAGAAATGCCGACACAAATACGGCGGTGTGTCAACACAAGAACTAATACATGCAGTTAAGGATCGCGGATGTTGTAGGGACATGATTGTTCACGCCAGTCGGCAAGGCGCTTGATAATGATCTAAGGGAGGTAACTAACCGTAAACCCGGATGTAAACAAACCACCTCCCCTACCTACCATACACTCACCAATTCGTCTCGCATGTCTTAGACACAATAAAAGGTACCGTTTACACATCTTTTTCACATATGAACTTTAATACATACATCGACGGACATTCTAATTAAAAAACGACATATGGATGTTGATGGCGACCAATGTTGATGAAGTAATCGTTTAGTTTATCGTTTTGCACTCTCAAATAGGACAGAGCTACCAAACCTTGTGCCGTCCTTTTCAGGATGCAATTTTTCATTATTTGAAGCCCTGCTACCTACTCTGGCTCATGCCAGAGGCCGCAATATAGCCCGGCCATAACTATGTCTGAACGCAGTTTCTGGGACCTCTCCACTGTGATCATCATCCACAATATGGTGGCACATTGTGTCATCGGACTTTATCGCTTGTGTGATGTCCTGGTGGGGTAGAAAGTCAGTCAGTCGACACTGACAGCAGTCCAGTCCAGTCTATTACTTAGATCTTCCTTGTCCCCCTTATTTGTGGCATGACATTTTGTTGCTATTTTAAAGCCCCACCCTGGCTGATCCTGGGGGCCGCAATATAGTCTGATGGTTGAACCTGTTTCCAAGCTCTCTCCACGAGTGATCCTCATCTGCCTGGTGGCACTTTGTGTCACCGGGTGTTTATCGCTCTGTGTGAATGTGATGTCCTGGTGGGATAAGTATTTTTTTTTTTTCTTTAGTAGTCCAGTCATGGGATCTGATCTCTGATCAAAGCGATACCAGTTTACCAGTACCAAGCCAATCCTAAGTAAACCCCATGCAGTTAAAATCCAAAATCCTTTTTATTCCTTGCACCATCTTATTCTACTGGCAAGGTATATTGTTAATAACGACTAGCAAATTGACAGCTTTGAAGCAGACCAGTATGTGGCATTAAAGGTTGTCACCTTGTTAATGGTTTCAGTTTCACAAAACCAACAAACTACAAACCGGGGTTTGTACAACTCAGACAACTCAGCTGAAAATTGTTAATCAGAAAATTGCCCAGTGAAACCACACAACAAGTAAATGCTGATAGTTTTTTTTTTGGTGACTCCCTGAAAAGGATGTGCAGCTGACTTTAACAGTTCAACCCATTTAGCATGTAAGAATCCATAAAGTTGCTGCAAAAAAAAGTGACTGTGACGTCATCATAATTTTTTTGTAAATGACACAAGGATCATGTAACAATGACCACAAATAGATTTTATTTTCACCCCAAATAATATTACAGTTTTTAACAAAATATAATCGCCGGCTGCATGGATTTTTATCATGGTATGGGACGTCACAGGTCGACCCAGCCTAAAATGGGTACCATGATGTATGTCCTGGGGAAGGAAAGACAGCCGGCGTAATGCTGACCACATTATCTACCCAGTGCCGATTGGTCTGTAAAAATATGGGTGCTCTTCCCATATGCCCGATGTGCCCAAGGCGTGACAAAGGATCTTCACTTTACTTTGCACCATGTCTACACTATATATAGTTGCACGAAAGCTGTTGTACAGTTGAAGTCACCACTGTTCAAAGACAGCATGCCATAAAAAAATCAACAAACGTGGACATCGGCATTTATGGAATGAGCAGGTGAAAGACAATGCACATCCATTACTCACATCAGGTAATCGAAGTTCCAACTTTTCAGCAAACAGGTCACCCTATAGTTATTCCATTCTTGTTGCAACAACAACTTCACAGCAAACATGTCACCCTATGGTTATTCCATTCTTGTTGCAACAATAACTACACAGCAAACAGGTCACCCCATAGTTATTCCATTCTTGTTGCAACAACAACTACACAGCAAACAGGTCACCCCATAGTTATTCCATTCTTGTTGCAACAACTACACAGCAAACAGGTCACCCCATAGTTATTCCATTCTTGTTGCAACAACAACTTCACAGCAAACAGGTCACCCTATGGTTATTCCATTCTTGTTGCAACAACAACTTCACAGCAAACAGGTCACCCTATGGTTATTCCATTCCTAGTCCAACAACAACTACACAGCAAAAAAGTCACCCTATGGTTATTCCATTCCTGTTCCAACAACACAGCAAACATGTCACCCTATGGTTATTCCATTCTTGTTGCAACAACAACTACACAGCAAACATGTCATCCCATAGTTATTCCATTTCTGTTCCAACAACAACTACACAGCAAACAGGTCACCCCATAGTTATTCCATTTCTGTTCCAACAACAACTTTACAGCAAACATGTCATCCCATAGTTATTCCATTTCTGTTCCAACAACAACTACACAGCAAACAGGTCACCCCATATTTATTCCATTTCTGTTCCAACAACAACTTTACAGCAAACATGTCATCCCATAGTTATTCCATTTCTGTTCCAACAACAACTACACAGCAAACATGTCATCCCATAGTTATTCCATTTCTGTTCCAACAACAACTACACAGCAAACATGTCACCCCATAGTTATTCCATTCCTGTTCCAACAACACAGCAAAAATGTCACCCTATGGTTATTCCATTCTTGTTCCAACAACACAGCAAACATGTCTCCCTATGGTTATTCCATTCTTGTTCCAACAACAACTACACGAAACGCCCATCACTTCCTCTTATGAAAAAATTTACACTGACTGCAGTCCTGACAAAGCCAACAGCATTCACATGCATTATGTATAGAAGTTATCTTTCCAAGTTTTGGTTTAAAGAAATCGTAATATTTCCACACATATAATATTTGCCCTTTAGCACAGTAGAAATAAAAAAAAATAAAAAAATAAAGGACCCGTTTCCACGCCTTTAGGCGTATAGGGCATATAAGGCTAGAGCTATATTTTACAGACCAATCGGCACAAGATGGGTGATGTGGTCAGCATCACACCGGCCACCTTTACTTCCCAGGACTGCACCCGGTACCCACTCAAGGCTGGGTCGACCTGGGAGCCAAAATAATTTTTTAAAAAGTCCGCGTTTCACCAGGTAGTGAACCCACGACCTTTGAGCGTCAAGCCGTTCCGCCACCGCGACTCCCCTTCAGCACTGTGCCATTATTATTATTATTTTAAACAAGGCGTAGCTTGAGCAGCAGTAGTAGTTTAGTAGTTAAAGTTAGTTGTGTATCCTTCACAGGACGTAGCAGAACCAATCCCAGCATTTATTGGCTGTTGTGTTTTTTCTAGGCAAATTTTACATTCAGTAGTTTGCCACTGCTTCCTGAATGGTCAGCTGTCGGTAGTTTAGGGGTAGTCAGAGCTTTTTTTATAGATAAAAAGGGTACATGTACTCACCATGAAGTGTGTAAAACAAAAAAAATGGCGCAGATGCTCACCACAAACTTTGTCTCTTACAGTTTTACTGAAAAATTCCTTTTCAAAGGTGTCCAATTCCTGCATACTGTGTACCACAAGACAAAATTCTCTGGTAGTAGTAATAATAGGAGTAGTAATTATAGTGATTTTCTTGTGTGTTTATTATTGTTTTTGATATTAATATTTTTTTTTTTAAACTGATGTTGCATTTGTTTGTTGTGTACCACTTACTCTTTATTTTGGTTTTATTGTTGTTTGATCTGCATATTTTTATGACTTTGATTTTGTTGTTTTTGTGTGTCTTGTGAATAATTGGTATTATATAAAGTTTATACCGTTACTGTCTGTGCCTTTCATCTAAACTGATCTATGTATTTTTGTATGGCTTTGTTCTAATTAAAACAATTTTTTTATTGTAATTATCTGCAGATTTGTTTCCTTATCCACATTTTTTAAAGGACATGGATGATGATAATGAATTTGAAAAAGCAGAAACCAAAAAGATAAAAAAGAAAGTGAACATATTTTCTGATGATGTAAGTATTTTTGTTTTGTTTTGTGTGAACATATTTTTAGTATCATATATGCAGTTTTGATGACTGTTCATCTTCTTTTTCTTCTTCAGTATTTCAAGCCCTTGAGGTTCATTGCTGCAGATATCACCCGACTCCATTTATCTCTCTGGTTATCTTCTCTTTCCAGTTGGTAACACCAAGTGTTTGCAGGTCTGTATGGATATTATCTCTCCATCGTCTTCTTGGTCTTCCTTGTGGTCTACGACCATTATTCTCGCTGGTGTGTACAATTTTCACTTCTCTGTCATCTGACATTCTATCAATATGCCCCAACCATTTCAGTCTGTTAGCTCTCATGATGCCAGTGATCAGTGGTGATTTAAACAGATTAGGAATTTCTTTGTTGTTTGCAAAATATCCTGTTCAACCCTCAGGTTATAATTAGAATGTTTGGTGTTCATCGATTTCTTAAAGTAAATATTTGTTATATTGTATATTGTGTAATTTTTTTTCAGACAAGTATAACATTTTTTATTGTTTTAAATATTGCTATGATTTGGGTTGTGGTTATGATATAAAATATACTATGCATATTTGGATAACCTTACTAACATTATGTCATTAGAATAGTGGATTTATTTTTAAATTGTACTATGAATATTTAGATAATCTTACTAACGTAGTGTCATTAGAATAGTGGATTTATTATGTCCTTAGTGTAATAGGTGATGGTCCTCGCTGATTATGGTCTATTTGCTCTTCCACATTGTTCTTGTATTCTGCCAAAACCTATGAAAGCTTTCTCAAGCAGAATGAAGTAAAATTGTGACGTTTGTAGGTGACAGGTTTTAAAATATTGAAACAAAATGTTTACAGATAAGCATTGAAGCTGCAAAAGAAATTGCCACGTCTTTCCCTATCAGTAGTGAAGAGGACGATGAAGAGGAAATTAATTTTGATGGATCACCAATTGTTAAATTCAGTAACAGTAAGTATCTGGAATAGAAGCAATAGCATTATGTGTCCTACAGGGTAGAGTGCCTGTGACATCACATCACTTTGTTGGAACATTACTTCACTTATTATCATAGAAATACCATCATTACAGCACTTGTTGTCATAGAAGTACCATCATTACATCACTTATTATCATAGAAGTACCATCATTACAGCACTTATCATAGAAGTACTATCATTACAGCACTTATTATCACAGAAATACCATCATTACAGCACTTATTATCATAGAAATACCATCATTACAGCACTTATTATCATAGAAGTACCATCATTACAACACTTATCATAGAATTACTATCATTACAGCACTTATTATCACAGAAATACCATCATTACAGCACTTATTATCAAAGAAATACCATCATTACAGCACTTATTATCATAGAAATACCATCATTAAAGCACTTATTATCATGGAAGTACCATCATTACAGCACTTATTATCATAGAAGTACCATCATTACAACACTTATTATCATAGAAATACCATCATTACAGCAATTTATCATAGAAATACCATCATTACAGCACTTATTATCACAGAAATGCCATCATTACAGCACTTATCACAGAAATACCATAATTACAGCACTTATTATCATAGAAATACCATAATTACAGCACTTATTATTAAAGAAATACCATAATTACAGCACTTATTATCATAGAAATACCATCATTACAGCACTTATTATCATAGAAATACCATCATTACAGCACTTATTATCATAGAAATACAATCATTACAGCACTTATTATCAGCACTGACATCTGCTGAAAGGGTCCATGAAGAGATGAGGAAATGAGGTCACTAGCCATAATGCTCATTACATAATATTTTGTCTTAGGAATTGTTTACTTTCCTGCGTTGGTTTTGGGGCCCCTTTGTGGGTAAACAAGAAAAGACCTCACATCGCACATAGAAATCTCCTTAAGGGTTTCAGTCTCCTTTCATAAATCACACAAGGAGAATCTCAGTGCAGTGCACGCACTACATAACACTGGTGAGCCTCCACATGTGAATGTCAGCATCATCATCTTCTTCTTTTCTTCTTGCAATTATGTCATCGAAGTGTTGGGGAAAGATAAGGGATCATCTGGGTGCTCTTTCTAATACATTGCGCAAGCTAATCTTCATGTCTAAAAGATTGTTCCTGATGCCATCATTCCATTTTTGCGTGGTCTTCCTCTTGGAGTGTGTTCATTGTATGGCTCTCTGTGATAGTTGTTACCAGGGCATTCTTGCCGGAAAACCAAACCATTTCTTCTGTCGCCATTTAATTATTTACTTAGGCTTTCCCCTTCCCTCTTTCTGCTTTTCAGGTATATTGGGCATATAGGGCAAGAACTTTATTTTATAGACCAGTCGGCTCTGGGTGGGTGATGCCACCTTCATGCTGGCCACCTTTGTTTCCCAGGACTTTACCTGGTACTCACTCAAGGCTGGGCTGACCTGAGAGCCAAGGCTCCCTCAGGACCTGAATCCTTGACCTTCCGATCCTCAAGCGAGCATCTAGCCGCTACACCATGACGGCTCCCAAAAGTTAGTTGCATATCCTTTATAGAATGTTGCAGAACCAACCACAGAATATTTTGGTTGTTGCGGTTTTTCTATGCAAATTTTATTTTCAGTAGTTACTCCTAATGCCGGGATGCCGGGTTCGATCCCAGCTGCGGGCCAAGCGCCTTGCGTTGGTTTCGACAGTGGTATCAAGAAATCTGACCGTCCAGAAAGCAATGGCAAACTACTGGATGTAAATTTGCCTAGAAAATACACACAACAGCCAGGGGCTGTTGGGGTTGGTTTTGCAACGTCCTGTAAAGGATACACAACTAACCTTAGTTACTCCAAACACATCTATTAGATAAGTGATTAATTCCGGTCTGGATATGAACCAGGTTTGATACAGTCGTGAAATCTGAGACATGAACATAATCTCAAAGTAGAAGGCTTTAAATTAAGGTGTTGTCAAATGAGGGCAGCATATAAGAGCGATAATACATTTTATTCAGAGCCATATCTAAGTATTTTTGTTTTAATATCCATTTGGACTCTTCTGACCTTCCCTCACATATTTAAATTTGATTTCTCTTTCCCCTTTGAGAATTTTAACTTCCTGATCCTCCAGTGTTTGCACCCATCTCTATGAATTTAGTTACCTGGCACACATTTTAATTAAATATTTTATTTAGCCATCGTTTGAAATAAATAAATTTATAAATAAAATATATTTGTGTTCTTTAGATTATTTTTGTGACTAAGCATAAGTATTGGAAGCTATGGTAAGAACAGTGTCTGTCAACTCAAAGGTCTTAGGTTCAAATCCACATCAAGGCAAATATTTATAGTTGACCTGTGTTTTTAAGTTGACCTGGCCAGATATGGGTATCTGTAAATTTCCTGGAAAGTAAAGGTGGTTGGCTTGATTTTGACTACATCACTCATTTTGTGCTGTGGTTTTTTAAAATATGTTAATTTTAATTGTTAGAAGAAGCGACTTTGCCTGGCAGTTTTAAAACTGACAAGAATATAACGATAGTGAACAGTTATTATTTCAACACCCATTCCATACATATATTTGTTTCTTTAGTTTAGTATTAACTCATGGGAAGGATGAGATGGATATACAATCAGACGGTTACTGATACCATCAGAATTGGAACTCTTTGCTTGCTGCTTATGAAAATGGACAATTCATAATAGTTTTGTTAATGTTTAAAGTACTAATTTACTTTGTGGGGAAAAATCCACGCTTCGATGTCTAAACTTGTGCTGTGCACATGTGACGCACGCTTGCAATGACTTGGCAAAGTCATTTATAGTATTGATTTTTTCCTTACTGAGATTTAAAAAAAAAAAAACTAGGCTGGATAATAGAGAATTCAGATAATAATGAATCAGATAATCTAGATTGTACTGTTGCTGATATATGAGATTGCAGGTGGTGAAGGTCAGAGTATTTCGCCTAGGCCATTTAGACATGTTTGGAAATGAGTAGAGCAGGCAGATAGATTGGCCGGACTGGCCCTTCTGAGAAGTATACTGCAAATGCACATGGCAGAAGTGATCTCTCGCATGTGGGATGAGGTAACAAGGAAAATAGAAGACAGTGAAAACCTTTACCTGGAGAGAATGATGTAGACGGGTGTGTCAGCTAGACCTGGGTACCATTCTAGACTCAGGAGAAAGTTAAGACGAGTAGTTAACTAGGTAATAACATGTACAACAAGTATGGAGACTCTGCTGGCTGTTGAGGAAGGAGACAAGCAAATATGGGCTTGTCCTGACTACTGTGATATGTGATATCGAATCTCAATCCAGATTCCCATGTGTGTTCTGGGGTCCCTTTATGAGGGAAAACGACAATAGACCTACTACCTCCCCAGCAAGCATGTCATAGAAGTCGACTAACTGGAGGCATCCTTTTAATTCTGAGTACATCTCTCTGAAAGGCAAGGAACAAACAGTCTGCACACAAATGAGCCAGATCTATAAGATGGATGTGCATACAACATTCAGATTCTGGAACAAGGCTAAAGTCTGAACCAGGACTTTTTTTTTCTGCCGAAGTTTACAGCCGGTAAACGCAAAGAAGAAGACGAAGAAGAAAAAAAAAAAAAGCAGAAGAAGAAGAATCCCACCCCAGATGAACCCAGATGAATTGAAATGTAAGGAACAGAAATGTAAATGATAAAGTTAGTCCCATATTTTAAGTCCTGGCATGATGAGGTTGAGTGGACAGTTCCCTTCCCAGCTGCTTGTTTTTCTCAGTATTCAACTGTTTTTGCAATTTGTTTGGGTCATCCTAGTTTTTGCTGTTGAGGAGGCTAGATTAATTTGATTCTAGTTTCTGTTAAATTAATTTTAGCATGAATAAATAAATGCCTGCGCTGTCTCCACAGTGAAAGTTGTCTACAGTAAACCATTAGTGTCTTTGATAATATTTATAGCAGAAATTATTTTTTTTTAAAACTCTTTGCCACAGGGAACGAAACATAGTATTTGAGGATCGTGAAATTGATAACAAAATTTGCTGACCTCTAAGCCACATGTTTTTATTTGAAAAGTCGACAGCTGATGATATTGGATTTTAATTACTTGTAGATTATTTTTAGTGAAATGGTTTGCCCACTTAGAGAGAATGCCTTGTGACACCATACCATACAAAGCATACATGGAAAGAGAAGAAGGACGTAGAGCACGGGGTAGACCAAGAACAAGATGGAAGGATAACATCAGAGAGACTCTACAACAGCATGATGTGCCTATGGTCGAGGCGGCCAGAAGAGCTAGAAACAGAACCTTATATCTCCCTTGACACCCACAGCGGTAAAAGAGGAAGTGAAGAAGAAGAAGAAGAAGAAGTTGATTATTTTAATTCAAACCTGTGTTCTCTCAAGAGAATGGAGAAAACATGATTTGTTAAGTTCTGTTACATTTTTTTAAAATCTGTTTTGGAACAGTGTTAGGAGAGTTTCATGTGAAAAAAATGGGCGCCTCACCACATAATATAAAAAAAAAAAAGACAGCAGTGGTACACTGTGGCCAGCCTTCATTGTGGAAACAGCACTGAAATAATTAATAATACAGTTACATTAGTTTACATTTCTCTTCCCTTCCAACCTCCCCAAAAATACAGTGGACAATAGTTGTGTTCTAATTACTATCCAACATTGTTGCAAACAATTCACCCTCTTATATCTCCGTTCATGCGCCAGTGAAAACCACAAAAAATGCCCATCACTGTCTCATGTCAAAAGTCAAACAGACAGCGGCCATGGCAACAGCTGGCACAACCATATAGGCTAGCACAACCAATGCATAAGGCAGCTGTCATAGTCGCCAACACCTACAATTTGTCACTAGAATTGCCATTCATAGTCAATGGGAACAGCAGTTACAACAACCAAATAGTTGCACATGCATTACTGCATAAGATATACCTTCAGTTACATGCAACTACAAGTCACCATGTTATGAATATGCAGTTTACAACACACTTCTCTGACAGCACAGACAGTAAGCATTTCTCAAAATTCAGAGTGGACATTGTTGCATCATGCACTTAACTCAGTAGCTGGCCGGCAGAACAGGATTTCACCTCTCATTTGCTGTGTCATCCAGTTTCATGCTGATTGTTGAAACTCCAACCTTCCTCTGGATTTGCTGGGGAGAACAGAATCCCCTACATGGAGTTGTGGTAGGCTTGAGAAAGAGAGGCTAACACATTAAGGATCTTGTATGGCACGTCATTGCTTTATTAGAACCCTGTTCTAATTACTGTTACAGTAGAGTAATTTAAACATCTATTATCCCAAGAGACAGGAAAATACTTAATTATCAGTTAGCCCCTCTTTCTCAAGCCTACCAAAACTCCATGTAGGGGATTCTGTTCTCCCCAGCAATCCAGAGGAAGATTGGAGTTTCAACCACCAGCATGAAACTGGATGACACAACAACTCAGGGGTGAAATCCTCTGCTGGCCAGCTACTGAGTTAAGTGCCAGAACCCCAGAACACACATGGGATCTAGGTAGTGATTTGATATCGCAGTATTCAGGACAAGCCCATATTCCTCAACAACTAGAAAAGAGTCTCCATACTCTTGTACATGTTACTACCTAGTTAACTACTTGAGTTAACTTTCTCCTGAGCCTACTAGGATGGTACTGAGAAGGAAGGAGGAGGTGAAGATGTTATTGATGGTGTGCCCTGTCGATAACACTTCAGGAATCTGAAATTCTGGTGTTTTTTCACTGTTCACTGGACCTGCTTGATGCTCACCAGGTTTAACTTTTACTATAAAAATCTGCCCAAAGAACTTTTCTTTTGCCTTCTCAGGATTTTACAGAGATCTGACAGGTCTTGTAATTCAGACAATGTCTTGTAATTCAGACAATGTCTTGTAATTGAGACAATGTCTTGTAATTCAGACAATGTCTTGTAATTCAGATAATGTCTTGTAATTCAGACAATGTCTTGTAATTCAGACAAGTCTTGTAATTCAGACAATGTCTTGTAATTCAGACAATGTCTTGTAATTCAGACAATGTCTTGTAATTCAGACAATGTCTTGTAATTCAGATAATGTCTTGTAATTCAGACAATGTCTTGTAATTCAGACAAGTCTTGTAATTCAGACAATGTCTTGTAATTCAGACAATGTCTTGTAATTCAGACAATGTCTTGTAATTCAGACAAGTCTTGTAATTCAGACAATGTCTTGTAATTCAGACAATGTCTTGTAATTCAGACAATGTCTTGTAATTCAGACAATGTCTTGTAATTCAGATAATGTCTTGTAATTCAGACAATGTCTTGTAATTCAGACAAGTCTTGTAATTCAGACAATGTCTTGTAATTCAGACAATGTCTTGTAATTCAGACAATGTCTTGTAATTCAGTCAGGTCTTGTAATTCAGACAATGTCTTGTAATTCAGACAATGTCTTGTAATTCAGACAATGTCTTGTAATTCAGACAGTGTCTTGTAATTCAGACAATGTCTTGTAATTCAGAGAGTGTCTTGTAATTCAGACAGTGTCTTGTAATTCAGACAATGTCTTGTAATTCAGACAATGCTCTTATGGCTTGTTTGGGCTTTGTTGGGATAATACTTTTTCGAAAAGTGATTGACATCTGTTTGTGGTTTTGTCTTATGAGAGGTTAACAAAGATAGCGCGTGTTATGACCAATTTTGTCATGCAAGTTTGTATACCAAGCAACAGTTTTCGCTATTAAACCGAACAAATACTAAGTTGAACATATAGCAAAGCAAACATCTATCGAGGTACTATTGTATTTTTTCTTGCTTGCAAATTTTTCATTAAATCCTTTGCTTTTCAATTTTGCTTACATTTATAAATTTGCACATGTCAGAACCAGGTACAGGGTCCGCGCCTCCAGTGCCAGATTTATCCGACCTGGCAGTCCCTGCAACTTCCCTCGCCTACCACGCCGGTGCTACAACTGCCAGTGTCTCCATGGTCACATCACATACTTCCCATGCTTCTCGCTCCAGTCCTGCTGCCACCAATGTTTCCCTCAACAGTTCCGCTGCATACGGAAGTGTGTCCAGTGCTGTGATGTATAGTCATAACAGTCACAACAGATCGATGAGTCTGACAATGGGTATGATGAGTATCCATCTAATAAAAGCTTATGTTTATATTTTAATTTTAGATTATCTACAGGGTAATCAAGAACGACTGCTGAGATTCAAACTGTTATTATAAAAGAATTAGGAAATGAATATACTCATGTGGCATCTCACAATTCAGAAAAGTTTTAAAGTTTTAGACTTTTCTCGACTCCGAAAGCTTGCTGAGGAAGGTCAGGATGGGCATGCTTTGTGCAGAGTTTCATGCTTCATTGCATGAGGACACAGCTGAGGAGTATTGTCTGGATTTTTTTTCACTGGGACGCCGGTGTGTAGGGAAATGATCAATCGGATAGACTGGCTGGCTCTGCACAATTGGTGGAAAACTGATGCATGATAAGGCAGACATGGTTGGTGTGGGAGCACACTTACAGTTCGGAGGAGCAGATGGATCACCACAGTCTGGTGAGATTAATGCAGGGGGAGTGACGAGCAGATGTTTGAGGCTCAGAGGAAAGACAAGACGGACATTTAATCAGAATGCTACTGGCACCATTAGTATCAGAACTCTTCCCTGGCTGCTGAGGATAGGGACGGAGCGCTTATGGGAATGCCCCAAGTGCTGTGATGTCGGTTTTTGAATCAACTCAACTCAGATTTTCCTTAGTACACTTTGATATGGGTGCCATTTGTAGCTCTGATGATGTCTAGATGGTGTTCAGTCTCCTGTCATGTCTTCTGAATCATGTCTTGAATGTTGAATTAAGAATCAACATCACAGCACTCTGAACACTCCAATAAGTGCGCAGTCCCCATCTTCAGCAACAAGCGAACAGTTCCAATTCTGATGGTACCAGTAACCGTCTGATTGTATATCCTTCTCATCCTTCCCCTGAGTGTTGAGCATCGGCCAGACCTCCTGGTAACTCCTCGCAGCGCCATTCTTCTTAGGTCGTTGAATCATGTCTGTTTACAGTTACTGTTACTGCAGCCACTGCTGGGTGTCCCTTTTCTTATTAGTGTAATTTTAAGCCTCATTATCACACAGGGTCTCATGAAACTGAACTTTTCCGAACATTTTGAGATGCCACACATGTATATCAAGCAGTTGCTTCTTTTACAATAACAATTCCCAGTAATAATTGTCATTGTTCCTGTATAATGTGAGGGACTAGCTGCTTCCCTGCCAGCCTAAAGGTTTTGAGTTTAAATCTGTATCAAGTCAGATTTGTTTTCCTTAAATTTACCGTTTCCTAGGGTGTCCCAGACTAAAATTATTTGTAAGTAGCAAAGTTAGTTTATATTTGGTAGCAACAGTTAGTTTATATTTGTTAGCAACAGTTAGTTTATATTTGGTAGCAACAGTTAGTTTATATTTAGTAGCAACAGTTAGTTTATATTTGGTAGCAACAGTTAGTTTATATTTGGTAGCAACAGTTAGTTTATATTTGGTAGCAACAGTTAGTTTATATTTGGTAGCAACAGTTAGTTTATATTTAGTAGCAACAGTTAGTTTATATTTGGTAGCAACAGTTAGTTTATATTTGGTAGCAACAAGAAATTATTTTAAGTAGCAAAAATCTGTTTATTTTTAGTAGCAAACTGTAAATGTGTTTAAAGTAGCAAAAATCAATTATTCTAAGCAGCAGCAAGTGTTTTTTTTTTAAGTAGCAAAAGTAAAAATCAAAATTTCAGTTGCGGCAACCACTCACTCTATGTCGCACTCTTAATTAAAACAAGGGTACAACGCAGGAAAGTCACACAATCTCGTTGGCCGTGAGATTTCATAGCGGTTTCCATGGGCTGTCCTATTCTCTTAGGGTGTTGAGTTGTCTTGCTTTGCTGTCTATACACAGCATGCCAAAAACATGGTCAACACACTGTCTCCCAGTGTGCAGCTTTCCTTTCATAATTCTCTTTTCTGTGAATGACTATTGTTTCTGGAATGTGTTGTTGTGAGTAGGTCTCAGGTGCTGAAGGCGCCTGTGTGAAAGGAAGAAGTACTGCAAGGGGAATCACTGAAGGTGCGACGGTTCATGAGTGTTGGATCATTGATACTTTTGTATATTTATGCTCATTGGCAGTGGCTGTGGTCGGTGGTGTATGTACTTGAAACATTCAAAACGAGCAACACATAACACCCCTAGACTGTAGGAGTGTCCTGGGAAATCCTCTACGTAATCTTGCTGCCGACGAGTTAGGGTGACTTTCGTGAGTTGTACCACACACAAAATGATGTTGATCATATGCCTAATGGGCCGCTAAAATAATTTTTTTTTTTTAAATCATTAAAAAAAAAAAGGATCGCCATCATTGCAGTAAGTTTCATCTGAAAAGAGAGAAAAGTGGAGACATTCAATGTGAGACCAGCATAAGAGAAGGTTGTTTGTTTGACTGAATACTTCGAGCGAAAAAGCTGTCGTATTAGCAAATACCTGGACAGCGGAAATAATTAAAAACCAACATCTCTCAACACATCTGCCGAGTGCTGAGCAATTCTTATGGTGTGTACTCAAAGAAATGCAGGTGAATATTAACTTGGTTGTGCTCTTCTTGAGGGAAAAGTTTTGGTTGTTCGTCCAATTTATTTTTGTGTGCACACCCGTTTTACAGATCTGACCCGCTTGTATGCATACTGTTAGCTTCTTGCCTCTCAAAATTTGTTTTGAACCCTAATATGAAACAGAACTTCATACAATTATACTGTTCTTCAATATCAGTCAATTTATGAACTTTTTGAACACTTTAGTTAGTAATAAGTAATGAGGTGTAATAATTTTCAAACCAAATATATAGGATAATAAGTTTTGAGAGTTCTAATGACGACTCGCTGATCTGTGATATTGTTGCTTCCCACCCAGGATCTATGAGTGCAGACAAAGATGTACCAAAGCCAACTTCCATTTCAGGATCTAACTCAAGTCTGCTTGACTTTGATAGTGGTAAGGTTGTGTTTCTTCTTCTTCTTCTTCTTCACTTCCTCTTTTACCGCTGTGGGTGTCGAGGGAGATATAAGGTTCTGTTTCTAGCTCTTCTGGCTGCCTCGACCATAGGCACATCGTGCTGTTGTAGAGTTTCTCTGATGTTATCCTTCCATCTTGTTCTTGGCCTACCTCGTGCTCTACGTCCTTCTTCTCTTTCCATGTATGCTTTGTATGGTATGGTGTCACAAGGCATTCTCTCTAAGCGGGCAAACCATTTCACTTGCTGTCTTTGTATGTAATCCAGAATTGGTTCTGTGCCGACTTGTTCTCTTATGATCTCATTCCTGAACTTATCTCTTATGGTCACTCTGACAGCCCTTCTCAGACATGTCATTTAAGGTTGTGTTTGCCCGTTGTAAATTTCAACAAAGAAGACAAACAATAGACTGCACAATGCAAGACAATAATTGTGCAGTCTATTGTTTTGTGTCTTCTCTGTTCAAATGGTAAGGTTAATAATATTACATAGAAAGACAGCAAAAAAAGTATGATTTGCCACTAAGAGAGAATACCTTGTGATGGCATACCATACAAGGTATACACCAAAAGTGGAGAGAGGATACAGCATGAGGAAGACCAAGGACTATATTGAATGATAATATCAGAGAAACTCTACAATAGTACAGCATGTCTATGGTTAAGTGGACCAGAAGAGTAAGAAGCAGAACCTTATATTTTACTTGACATCTGAAGCAGTAAAAGAGAAAAGGAAAAAGAATGTTTTAAATTTCAGGGTCTAGTTCAGTCTGCATAATTTTGATAATAACTTTAATAATTTGAGAATTAACCTGAAGTATCTTTGATGTCTGTGAGTATGTGTGAATTGTTGCTTACTTCTCATAAATTATTTCTTCTTCTTCTTTTTATTAGCACTCACTGGCCGTAAACACTGGTACAAATTTCAAAATTCTGGATATTTGTCCGCTTCTGGACTTTGAACTTGTTCCAGAGCTTAAATTTTTTAGTATGCACATCCATTTTACACATCTGGCTTTTTAGTATGCCTACTGTTGGTTCCTTGCCTTTCAGGCATATGCACATCAACTTTGTAGAAAACACACCTAATTAGCTGCTTTTTATAATATGTTGGTTAGGGGGTCAGTGGGTATGTTATTTTACCGCACAATTGGACGCTGAAACCAACACAGGGATCATAAAAACTTCCCTTTAAAGGATAAATACAGAATTGAGAATCAAACTCACAGCACTCGAGACACTCCCATATGTGCTCAGTTGCCATCTTCAGCAGCAAGTGAGGAGTTCCCATTCTGATGGTACCAGTAACCGTCTGATTGTATATCTATCTTATCTTTCCCCTGAGTGTTGAGCGTCAGCCAGATCCCCTGGTAACTTCTCGCAGCCCCATCCTCCTTAGACCGCAGTGATCTGTTTGCACCTCCACACTGTTTACTCACTCCCAAAGTCACTGAAAACATGATCCTTGTACATTATCTCCAATTTATCTTAGTAGTGAGTTAATAGGCTGTTCTTTTATTTGATGACCTTCGGCAGTTGGAGGGAACTTGAAAAGGCAGACAGATTTGGACAAGCTACACCAGGAAATTCAGTCTCTGAAACGCTCCCTACTAGTGAGTAAACTTAACAGATTAAAGAGTTACATTCCACCACTTCTGCTTTTCATCTACCACTGAATCATAAGTCTTCAACCAGCCCCTGTCAAATTCTTTGTAAACTTGTTCGTGACTGGCAATCTGGCAATCAGGTAATCGCAGTTCTAACTTTATACCAGATGGATTAGCCCACAGTAGCTCTGTTCCAGCACCAACGAAAACCACACAGAATGTCAGTTATTGTCCACTGTGACAAACATAGACACAGACTATAGTCTCAGGAAGTCCAGTAGTATTACATGCATAAGGCAGCCATCAGAAGCGCCAACACAAATAGTCCAACACTAGAAATGCAGAGCAAGTCATTTTTCTACACCTTAGAACAGGACTTCGCAGCCATATTTACACACAATTTAACATCCGGGAATCAGCCATGTGCACATGTGGATTGGCACCTGAGACAATAGATCATGTCCTCCAAGACAACATATCAAGGTCAAACTTTTGGCCAAGAGAAACATCGGTGCAAGTCAAATTTTACGGGTCGCTGAGTGAATTACAAAAGACAACAAGAGACAACACTGCAGATATAGATAATTTATTTCAAGCGAACAAAAGAAGAAGAAGAAATGCAGTTCATCATCAGTAGAAGCAGCAGTTAGAGCAGATCTGTAATTGCACATGCAGTTAGTCGCATAAGACACCCATGTTCTATGACAACAAGCCGCTCGCCATTTTCTGATTCCGCAGTTCACAACACAAACCTTATTGGGCACAGTCTAAAAGCATTCTAAACAAAATCTGCAGCTTACATTGTCACACCATGCACGTAGCTCAGAAGCTTAGTAACGGAACTGTGTTCTTTACGTCTACATATGGAGGAAAATGCAACAGCTAACTATTTTCAGAAGTAAACACTTGTCACGACTGAAAACAGTAAGCCAGTCTACCCAACCAGCCTCTCAGGACATTGACATTATTACTGAACCACCAAGCAAACAAGAAATCCTTAAATCTATCCACACTTTAAAGAACAACAAAGCACCAGGCAAAGCCGAACTGCCAGCAAAACTTCTCAAAGTAGATCCCAACACAACTGCTAGCATTCTAGAACCATTGTTCAAGGATATTTGGGAAAAAGAAGTGTTGCCTGATGACTGGACTGAAGGAACAATAGTCAAAATCCCCAAAAAAGGAGACTTAACAGACTGCAATAATTGGAGGGGAATTACTCTACTCTCAGTACCAAGCAAAATATTTTGTAAAATCATCATAATGCGGCTTGAAAAAGGAGTAGATAAATGCCTATGAGTGGAACAAGCAAGATTCAGAAAGGGCAGAGGAACAACTGAGCACATCTTCGCCATACTTAACATTTTAGAACAATGCGACGAATGGCAGAGAAGTATATATATTAATTTTGTGGACTTTGAGAAAGCTTTTGACAGCGTCCATAGAGACGGTCTGTGGAAAATTTTACGACATTATGGAATTCCAGAAAAAATAGTCAACATAATTGCTCTCTTCTATAAAGACTTTTCCTGCAGTATAACAAATTACAATACATCTTTCCCAGTAAAGACGGGTGTAAGACAGGGATGTGTTATGTCATCTCTCCTCTTCAACCTTGTGATTGATTAGATACTAAAGAACACAGTAGACAGGACATTAAGAAGCATACGATGGACTTCATTCACCATGCTTGAGGACCTTGATTTTGCAGATGATATAGCACTCCTATCACATAAACATGAACACATACAAGAGAAAAGTAACAGACTAAACTGCACAGCAGAAATGGTGGGACTGAGAATAAATACAAAGAAAACTAAGATCATGACAAACAGTCCAAACCAACAACCATGACCATAAGTAACCAATCACTTGAAAATGTAGAACATTTCACATATCTTGGCAGTGTGGTGTCCCTACTGGGAGGAACAGAGGAAGACATACAGTCACGTCTGAACAAAGCTAGAGCTGCTTTTGTAAGGATGAGGCAAATCTGGAAATCCAACAATTACTGCAGAGGAATGAAACTCCGACTCTACAAGAGCATCATTTTGCCAGTTCTTCTTTATGGAGCGGAATGCTGGAGAATGACCAAAAAGGATGCACACAAGCTGTCCACCTTCCACCACACATGTCTACGTAGAATTATCAAAATTTTCTGGCCAGATACAATCTCAAACACTAAACTACTTCAAGCCACAAACCAAGAAACTTATAGACAGTATGATTACCAAGAGAAGATGGAAATGGCTTGGCCACATTATGAGAGTGACTTCTAAGATACCTGCCAAAACAGCTCTCACATGGACACCAGAGGGAAAGAGAAAACAGGGGCGCCCAAAAACAACATGGAGACGAACGATGGAAAGTGACCTGAGTGCGGCATCTTTGACATGGAAACCGGCACTGAAGATTGCACAGGACAGGAAAGCATGGAAAGTCCTCTCTGAAGCCTCATGTGCCACTAGGCATAACGAGAACTGGTGATGATGAGTGAATTACAAAAGACAGAGACAACACTGCAGATATAGATAATTTATTTCAAGCGAACAAAAGAAGAAGAAGAAATGCAGTTCATCATCAGTAGAAGCAGCAGTTAGAGCAGATCTGTAATTGCACATGCAGTTAGTTGCATAAGACACCACATGTTCTGTGACAACAAGCCGCTCGCCATTTTCTGATTCCGCAGTTCACAACACAAACCTTATTGGGCACAGTCTAAAAGCATTCTAAACAAAATCTGCAGCTTACATTGTCACACCATGCACGTAGCTCAGAAGCTTGGTAACGGAACTGTGTTCTTTACGTCTACATATGGAGGAAAATACAACAGCTAACTATTTTCAGAAGTAAACACTTGTCACGACTGAAAACAGTAAGCCAGTCTACCCACCATATTGATTAGAAGTCATGAGTGGTTGAATATAGTAGCTGAAGAATTATGTGGGAGCTAGTCACGTACCAACCTTCTTAGTTGTCACCTATGACATGCATTAAAGGGTTCAATTAACCATTTGCTTCTCAGTTTGGGCACTGGTGACACATGGGGGAGACACTAACAACTAATTTTAGTTACTTATTTTCAAATTTGTGATGAGGTGCTTTGCATGGTCTCCACGCGGACATTGTGGCTGGTCGAGTAAGCGAGGGGAATCCTGAGCTAGCCTCGTGGTCAGTTGGTTACCAGAAGTTGTAGAAGACGGTTGTGTTAATAGAAGTTGTAGTGCTTATCTCGTGCGAATGACCAGTGTTTGAATATGTCGCAAGTGATGGAAGTGTGAATAATCGTTGTTGAATAAATGTAACGGAATAAACTGACAGCAAGTACAAGGAAGCTGAGCAACGTTTGTGTTATCAGTCCTAGACGTTAGAGCAGTGCAAGTAGATATCTTGCAGTAATCATATAGAGTTTGAATCATGGCGAAGCAGATACGTCGTAAGCCAAGGAACATTTAAAGTGATGTGGAAAGCCACGACTCATTCCAAAATTCACTTATACTTATTTTTAAAAACAACACTCTTGGCTTAACCATAGCTGCTTTTTTAGGATTTGTCAGAGATGATAAGATCCCATTTTCACACTTTGAGGCAGATTGAAAGAAGATTTTTGACAGTTTGTTCTTTGATCATTGTATGGAAAGATGATAGCACATAAATGGATGATCACAACTGGAAATCATGGGATGTGAAGAGGCATGATAACCCTTGTCAGTAGACAAGATACTTCATGATGATGATGATGTTTATGTCATTATCTATTCTCTTTTAAAATTTATGTGTTTGTATTATTTCCATGTAATTAATGGACCATTATTTATTTTTATTTATTATTGTATTGTGTCCTAGACACTATCATTTATTATTGTTTGTATCCTGTCTGTTTCATATGTTTTTGTTTTTATCCTGTCTGTTTTCTATTGTTTGTGTCCTGTCTGTTTTCCTATATTTTTATATGTGTTCTGTTTTCCGGTGTTTCCTGTCTTTTTCTTGTTTAGGTCCTGTCTGTTTTCCGATATTTTTATATGTTGCCTGTCTATTTTCCATTGTTTCTTGTGTGTTTTCTATTGTTTGTGGCGTGTCTGTTTTTCTATGTGATTGTATGTGCCCTATTTGTTTCCTATATAATTGTTTGTTTTTCTATGTGATTGTATGGGCCCTGTTTGTTTCCTATATAATTGTTTGTTTTTCTATGTGATTGTATGTGCCCTGTTTGTTTCCTGTATAATTGTTTGTGTTCTGTTTTCCTAAATTATTGTGTCTTGTCTCTTTTCCTAAATTATTGTGTGTGTTCTATTTATTATACACATGATCCTATTTATTGTATGTGCCGTGTCGGTTTTCCTATTTTATTTAACACATATTTGTCTGGTTTTCCATTTTGGTTTTAATAATTTTTTCTTGTTTTTGATTCTAGAGTGCCAAACGAGACAGATGGGTGAAGCTGCCCATAGAAGACACGCTCAGACGTATAATAAAAGGAGAGGTAATTACAAACACTTGCATTTCCTTTCTTGTTCCCATAAAGTGCCTGGTATTGTCACTTTACGTGGCCACCGTATGAGTCATCACATACATTTTTGAGGACCAGTGGCATGTATTTATTTAATTATCTACTGCATTTGTGTTTATTGATTACTCCCCTTTGTTATATTTCTTCTTTTCTTCTTCTTTTCTCCACTCCTGGAATGCCTTTTGGCGTCAGGGTAGGATGAGATCTCTGGGACGGGCCCTTCTGTTCTCCTCATATATAGTACTTTCAGCGTGTCTCTGATATTTCTGCAGTCCATATTCTGAGTGTTCAACCTCTGGCTCTGGTACTGCTGTATCTGTATGACATTTATTGGTTCTGTGCCGACTCTTATGGCAACATCGTTCATAAGTGGATCTTTCCTCGCTACACCTAGCATAGTACGTAAACATTTCATTTCTCTCATGACTATTTTCCTTCTGTCTCCTGAAGACAGTGTCCATGTTTGACATTGATAATATAGCGTTCGTGAGGATATTGTGTTGAAAAGTGTTCTTTTAGAGTTCATATTCACATGTTTACATTTCAAAATTGGTGCCATTTGGTTTAAAACTTGATTGGCTTCAATGCATTTTTGTTGGAGGTGATCAATCCAGTTTCGTCCTTTTCAGGACGAAATTTTTTGTAATTTGAAGCCCTACTCTGGCTTTTGCCAGGGGCCGCAATATAGGCAGGCCATAAATATGGCCAAATGTCTGAACGCGGTTTCTGGGACCTCTCCACGGCGATCCTCATCCGCATGGTGGCACTTTGTGTCATCGGGTGTTTATCGCTTGTGTGATGTCCTGGTGGGGTAGAAATTCATTCATTCATTCATTTTTGTTGGATTTCTTTTTCTTTATTCATTGTTCCGTCTTCTGGAAAAATGCTCCGCAGATATGTAAAATCCTTCGCCTGCTTTATCTGGTGTTCATCAATTTGGATATTTCTGGTTCTTCCTTTTCTGGCGCATGTCATCACTTCTGTTTTATCAGTGTAGTTGTCGCACTTTGAATGGTGTCTGTTGATATGTTCTTGCAGTTGTAATACTGTTGGTGCTATGATAGTGAGTGTGTTAATGAGAAATCTATTATGCTTGCAGCTTTATATACCTCAGCATTTGTTTTTTTCTTTGTCCATGATATTCTCAGCATTCTTCTAAACAAAACAAAAAAATAATACATACACACACATACACATATGCACATTCTTGCGCACACACTCACGCACACATGCATGCACAAAAGGACACACACATACATACGCACACACACACACATGCAAACACACACACAAATGCACACACACACACACAATGGTTTCATACTCATATGTTTTTACCCTGGCATTTGTTTATTTCTCTGTGCAGGATTTTCTCAACGTTCTTCTAATAAAGACACACGCCTCCACTGCTGTTAATGTCCCTGTTACTTGATTGTTGATTTATTTTAAACTTACAGTTAACATTAAAATGTTATTGACTTCTGGCCCAATATGGTGTGGCCGATGTTTAGTTTCAAAGTTATTTTTGCTTCTGACAGCGCTTTGCTAATGCAGTTTCCACATTTGAATGGAGATGTACAGTTTCACTGCCTAAGTTACTGAGTTGAGTGCTTTGTGCAGCACTGTGAGCTGAGTTTTCACGTGGTGTAGCACTTGAGTCGTGGTATTCAATATGACCGGTAGCCGTTTTGTTTGTGGGCTGGTAAAATACCTTATGTAATAATTTTATGTGTGTGTAACCAACTTATCGTGACCGACTACTTCCATCAACGACAAACTGCATTTCTCGTGGCGACTGTTGGCTTTGGCACCTCTGGCAACTGCCTTATGCATTTACTGCGTAGGCATATTTCTAGATTGTACTGTGACTAATTAAATTATTTGTTTACCAGTTTTTCAGATGGGACACTGAGGGACATTTTATTTAATTTTTACTGTCACAGAAACGGAGCAAGTACTGTATGACCTGATTGCACTGAAGTTAAAACCTCGACTAAGACTAAGATTACAATTTATTGCTGTCTTCCTTTTTTTTTTTTGACGTCTGCAGGAATTCTCCTTAGAACTGTACAGATCTCTAGAAGACAAACTGGAGTTATTGGACAAAGCTACACAGAGGCATGATGGGAATGCTATTGTGACTGTAAGTCAAAGCAAGTGTGCCAGTTTGGCTTATTAGTCCAGTGTGTGCTTTTTGTTAAACTAGATACTGGACATACATTTTCTTGAGTTACAACTGCTGGAAGCAGGAGAATGAATGAACCAGTGAGTTCAGTAATGACATCACTATACTCAGAATATTTTCAAATCTTTTTCAGTAGCAGAACAAAACAAACAAAAGAGAATTTTAAATTAAATAATGCCATGTTTTTAGTAGCGTCTGTGGCTTAGGCATATTGAGTCTGACTTGTAATTTTAACATACTGCGATCGAAACCCACTGCTGGCTGCGTGGATTTTTATTGCGGTATGATGCATCGCAGGTTGACCCAGACTAAAATGGGTACCAGGATGTATGTCCTGGGAAAGTAAAGATGACTAGCATAATGCTGACCACAACACCCACCTAGTGCAGAATGGTCTGATTATGGGTGCTCTTCCCATATGCCTGATGCACCTAATAGGTGTGAAAAGGGATCTTTACTTACATGTTGATAGTGCCAGTGGCATTCTAATAGAAAGCCCACAGTTTTTATTAAGTATTAGACACAATCTCTGCTCACTGTCTGTTCTCCTGCTCACTGTCTGTTCTCCTGCTCACTATCTGTTCTCCTGCTCACTGTCTGTTCTCCTGCTCACTGTCTGTTCTCCCTGCTCACTGTCTGTTCTCCTGCTCACTGTCTGTTCTCCTGCTCACTGTCTGTCTGTTCTCCTGCACTATGAAGGAAAAAGCAAGAGAAAATATTTGCCAAAAAATGATGCAGCTGAAAACTGTGCATACATAGCTAAATTACCTTGTCTATGGCTATTCATGCAAAAGCTGAAATATTTTGGTCATATCAAGCGCCACAACAGATTGGATCAAATTATAGCAGAAGGCATGGTACCAGGAAGGAGGGGCAGGGGCCGACTGACACGAAGATGGGCACAGGATATGTTACTCCTTGAGTGTGAAAGTACATGAGGTGGGAGAACTGGCAAGAGACTGAGTTTCTTTATGCAGACTGTGATGAGAGCAACGTTCTGCAAAAGACCTGCTACATGATGATGATGATGATGATGATGATGATGATGATGATGACTTTTCATAGCTTATTACTTGCTCTCATCTTTGATAAAATTGCAACTAACACTTTCATTTCTAGGCTACACAGGATGTGCGCCTGAATCCATGCTATGAGTCACACCCCTCCCACAGTGTTCTCTGACTTTTAGTGTCTGCTCTAAGTAAATTCATTTCTCCAGACTTTTTGGGGCCAGTGTTATCGTGTCTGTAGCCTTATGGAAGCATGCATTCATGATTTTTTATTGGCCTTATGAAAACCATGCATTCATGTTTTTTCGGTGGTTACTTCCCTTATTGTTCATTCCCTGGAGGAGCAGATGGATCACCACAGTCTGGTGAGATTGATGCAGCGGGGAGTGATGAGAGGTTCTGGCAGATGCTCGAGGCTTAGAGGAAAGGCAAGACGGAGGTTTTATCAGAATGCTACTGGCACCATTGGTATTGGAACTCTTCGCTGGCTGCTGAAGATGGGGATGGAACACTTATGGAAATGCCCCAAGTGCTGTGATCTTAGTTCTTGAATCAAATCAGATCAATCATTCGCTGGGATGCAGAAATGCTGAATAACATATGGTGGCGAATAGAACCAGGGCTGTTACTGGACAAGATATGTTTACACCTCTTCATGGTTATCCTAGAAACCGATTCCCAAACAGGAACTCTGCCAGCTAAGTAACAGTGTTTCCTTTGAAGTAAGAGTGCTTTTGCCTGAGAGGAAGGGAACCAACATTCTGCACACTGTAAAATGCATCAATCAAGTCCTAAAATAACTCTGAAATCCTGAAGTAGATGACAACCGCAACTTATCGCCTGAATTCAATGTCAGTGAATGTGAAGAAGAGAAAGAAGAAGAATGTTATCTGCAGCATAAGCCTTCAACTAGCTCAGGCTGTTAGTTTTTCATAGCTGTTTGAATTTTTCAGCTAACGATTGGTTGAATTTTGTAGCTAATAATTGGTTGAATTTTTCTACTAAAGTTTTCTACATAAGGAACTAAGACATTCTCCTGCTTACCCTTCCTTTCTTGTGTGTCATTTATGACATGCATTGTAGGTGACTTTGTTACCTTTTACCTTGTTACCTGCATCTATGGACCCTGATAAAAGGTAGACGTACCTTTACTTGTTTAATTCAAGCCATGTTGAGTTCAGATTATTACTGTTGCGCATGCACTCACGCACGCACACATATATATCTGGGAAGCAGCCATGGCATAGCAGCCAAACGCTTGTATGTGAGCTCAAAGCTTGTGGGTTCAATCCATATCAACTTGGATTAGTTGAAAAATTACCTTGACTCACAGGTCGACTCAGTCTTAAGTGGGTACCAAGAAAGTCCTGGGAAGTAAAGGTAGCCGACATGATGTTCACAGCATCAAGCACAGAGTGGCAATCAACTATAAAATATAGGGTTAAGACCTAGTACGCCCAAGGGCATGTGAAAAGGACCTTTTACATATCTGTCTATATCTTCATGTCATTGTTGCCAGATAAGGCATTCACTAGCGATCTCCATTGCACCTGGTCTTCTGCTTTTCTGTCAATGGTATCCTATATGATTTACATTCCTTTGTTGCCCTTTCCACTGTTCTTTAGGGTTTCTTACTTCATCCATGCCTCCTTTTTCCATCTGCCATCCACTGGAGATTTGTCCTTGCCAAAGTATCATGAGGTATTCTGCAAAAATGTCCAACCCATCTTCATCTTCTTCCTTTAACTCTTTGAGTTCCAAGGGGTTTAGCATCAGAGGCCCAAGGGGTATTTAAAAAAGATGTAAAATCGGCACATCTTGCATTTATTGGGTCTCTAGGTATGAACCTATGAACGTATGATGCGTTCCCCGGGACTCAAAGAATTTGTCAGGAGAAACATTTTATTTTGTATAATGGTATCACCAAAAGGTTGCTCTTGTATAATCTGAGCTTGGCCTTCAGACTAAGTCCCTTTCACTTCCATAAATTGTTAAGCATGGCAAGCATATATCCTTGTTTCAACCTTATTTACAACATGGAGTCACAACCTTATTTACAACATGGAGTCACAACCTTATTTACAACATGGAGTTACAACCTTATTTACAACATGGAGTTAAACATTTTTTACAAGATGGAGTTACAACCTTATTTACAACATGGAGTCACAACCTTATTTACAACATGGAGTCACAACCTTATTTACAACATGGAGTCACAACCTTATTTACAACATGGAGTTACAACCTTATTTACAACATGGAGTTACAACCTTATCTACTACATGGGTTTGCAACCTCATTTACAGGATGGGGTTGCAACCTTATTTACAGGATGGGGTTGCAACCTTATTTACAGGATGGAGTTACAACCTTATACACAACATGGAGTTACAACCTTATTTACAAGATGGAGTTACAACCTTATACACAACATGGAGTTACAACCTTATTTACAACACAGGGTTACAACCTTATTTACAAAATGTAGTTACAACATTTTTACAACATGGAGTTACAACCTTATTTATAACTGAGGGTTACAACCTTATTTACAACATGGAGTTACAACCTTATTTACAACATGGAGTTACAACCTTATTTACAAGATGGAGTTACAACCTTATTTACAACATGGAGTTACAACCTTATTCACAACATGGAGTTACAACCTTATTCACAACATGGAGTTACAGTCTTATTCACAACATGGAGTTACAACCTTATTTACAACATGGAGTTACAATCTTATTCACAACATGGAGGTACAACCTTATTTACAACATCGAGTTACAACCTTAATATAATTCTGTCTACTTCTCAGGCCGTACTGTTCCTTCATCGAACTGTATCAAGACACATTTTTACACGTGAATTATTGTCAAGACCCGTGGCTGCCAATCATTATTTGTCCTACTTGAAGGCGCATTTTGACCATACTGAATACATTACCATATTGTCGTAAGTTCTAGTGTTGTTTCCCTGTTCTTGTCATAAGTCTGGTGTTTTTTCCTTGTTCTTGTCATAAGTCTGGTGTTGTTTCCCTGTTCTTGTCATAAGTCTGGTGTTTTTTCCTTGTTCTTGTCATAAGTCTGGTGTTGTTTCCCTGTTCTTGTCATAAGTCGGTGTTGTTTCCCTGTTCTTGTCATAAGTCTGTGTTGTTTCCATGTTCTTGTCATACGTCTGGTGTTGTTTCCCTGTTCTTGTCATAAGTCTGGTGTTGTTTCCCTGTTCTTGTCATAAGTCTGGTGTTCTTTCCTTGTTCTTGTCATAAGTCTGGTGTTGTTTCCCTGTTCTTGTCATAAGTCTGGTGTTGTTTCCCTGTTCTTGTCATAAGTCTGATGTTGTTTCCCCCTTCTTGTCATAAGCCTGTGTTATTTTCCTGTTCTTGTTGTAAATCTGTATAATTTTTATATTCTTCTCATAAGAGTGTGTTGTTTCCCTGTCTTTGTCATAAGTCTGGTATTGTTTCCCTGTCTTTGTCATAAGTCTGGTGTTGTTTACCTGTCCTTGTCATAAGTCTAGTGTTGTTTCCCTGTTCTTGTCATAAGCCTTTGTTATTTCCCTGTTCTTGTCTTAAGTCTGTGGCATTTTCATGTTCTTGTCCTAAGAGTGTGTTGTTTCCTTGTTCTTGATGTTGTTTGTTGCATTCAGCTGTCATTGTTTTTTTTTTTAATCAGCTTTTTTTCCCCCAGTGTTAGTAAGTAAGCAAAGGTCTATTTTATGCCCATGGTACATCGGGCAAATAAGGCTAGCCTCTTGTTTTCATAGACCACCAGCACTCGATGGATGATATGGTCAGCATCTTGCCAGCTGCCTTTACTTCCCAGACATTATCTGTTACAAATTGTAGGTTGGGTTGACCTGGGAACTAAGGTCAGTTTTGAAAAAAATCAGCCGCTATACAGATTTTAAACTAAGACGTTTGGTCTTTAATGAAATCTAAACAATAATATACATGAGGTGGAGTGGAAAATGCCAGGCATTAAATAGTCTGTGACTTGTTTAGGAAATCGTACAATGTTTAAACATTGCTTTGATTTTCTGAAAAAAATAATTATTTAGAATTACTGATCTCAAGCAATGCCTAGTGTGTAGGTAATGCTGTCCGTTGACGTCCCTTCATAGCATATTGTGTTCTTTTACTTACAACATTTAGTCAGAAGATACTAAAGAAATCTCGCTTCTCCACTTGATAATTACTATTGTGTATATTGCCACTTTGCATTACAGATTCTTCATCCTAGTAATTTCTTTGTTTTGGCATCTCCGGTGAAACCTTTCTCTTTCTGAAGAGTTAAAATATCATCTAAGATAATAAAATATCATCTAAGATAATAAAATGACATCTAAGATAATAAAATGACATCTAAGATAATAAAATGACATCTAAGATAATAAAATAACATCTAAGATAATAAAATGACATCTAAGATAATAAAATAACATCTGAGATAATAAAATAACATCTAAGATAATAAAATGACATCTAAGATAATAAAATGACATCTAAGATAATAAAATAACATCTAAGATAATAAAATGACATCTAAGATAATAAAATAACATCTAAGATAATAAAATGACATCTAAGATAATAAAATGACATCTAAGATAATAAAATAACATCTGAGATAATAAAATAACATCTAAGATAATAACATTTACCGTGAGACCTGGGACCTGAGACTGATTGAGTACAGAGACCACTGAATGAGTTGTGGTCACAGGAGAGGTGCAAACCCACAAATGCTTAGGACAGGGAGAGTGTACTGGGTTGAAACTCAGACTGCTGAGATGGTAAGCATGGGCACTACCTACTGCACCAGCACAGCTCACAACAGAAGAATACAAATGAAACCAGTGGTCATACGAATTCTAGAACTATTTTGATCTCTTCTTGCAGATTGCTGGGTAGAGCAGAGGAAGCAGCCGTGAGTATTAATGAGATAACAGAAGTTTGGTTTTATTAGATATTACTGACTATATTTGTCGCTTATAAGAGCAGTGTGTAGGACAGGGGGTTTTTCAGCCTGAGGATTTGGGGCCAAATGGCTAATGCTGTCGTCATGGACTGTGCAGGTTATTACTTTTAGTTTTTATCCCTGATAAACAAAAAGAAAAAAACTTTGATCAGCTAACTGATGATTCGATAGCCGAATTATTCATTGAACAGTGACACACGACAACAGTTGTTGATTCTTCTTATCCTTATCTTCTTCCTCATTGTCCTTCTTCTTTTTCTCCTCCTTATCCTCATCGTTCAACTTTTTTCTCTTTAATGTTCTTCAAAACTATTTCTTGTGTCAGCTCCTTTTTATGTTAAATTTTTCTTGTTCTTCTTCCACCTTTCCCAATGGAATAGAGACTTTCAACCATTTACACCAAGTGCCTTGTGGACTTGTTTTTAGATTTGTTGCATTTTGCAGCTAAAGTTTATTTTTACAGAATCCAGTAACCAATGTGGCACCAACCCTCATAAGTGATCACTTCCAGCATACCTGGTAGGTTAAGGCTTTTCCAGTTCAGTATACTTTCTTTATGCTTAGGAAAAAGGCAATGTGGACTTATAATCAGACTGTAACTGGCACCATTGATTTTGGAATTCTACACCTGCTTCTGAACACTGGGGTCAAAGCACCACTCTTCTTTTTCTTTGTACAGAGCTCTGGAGGTTCATTGCTACAGATATCACCCACCTGTCTTCACCTCTGACATTGGCCTTATCTTTACATTTTGGTGCTTATTATTTTTAATATCTCCTTGTTATGGATTTGAATTGATATCACAATAACTTGTTCAGTGTCCAGTCGTCTACATCTTTTAGTAGTTCAAAATAAATATATATATATACACACACACACACATGTATATACATATATACACACATACATATGTACACACACGTACATAATGTGATTTAATTTCAGATTTTTAAATTTAAATTGGCGGCACAGACAGTGGATGTTGGATTAAAGATTTCCAAACTGAAAGATAGCTTGAGGTAAACATTTGACAGTGTTCTAATATTAGATAGAGAGAAATCAGTAGTTGATGTTACATCTCTAAGTTACTTCAGATTGTTTAGCAATCATTTGAAGGGTATTCATATTGCCATCTGAGAATAAATCATTTGAAGATTATTCATATTGCTATCTGGGAATTAATCATTTGAAGGGTATTCATATTGCTATCTGGGAATGAATCATTTGAAGGTTATTCGTATTGCTATCTGGGAATTAATCATTTGAAGGGTATTCATATTGCTATCTGGAAATTAATAATTTAAAGGGTATTCATATTGCTATCTAGGAATTAATCATTTGAAGGGTATTCATATTGCAGTCTGGGAATTAATAATTTAAAGGGTATTCATATTGCAGTCTGGGAATTGAACATTTGAAGGGTATTCAGTATTCATATTGCAATCTGGAAATTAATCATTTGAAGGGTATACATATTGCTATCTGGGAATTAATAATTTGAAGGATATTCATATTGCTATCTGGGAATTATTCATTTGAAGGGTATTCATATTGCTATCTGGGAATAAATCATTTGAAGGATATTCATATTGCTATCTGGGAATAAATCATTTGAAGGGTATTCATATTGCTATCTGGGAATAAATCATTTGAAGGGTATTCATATTGCTATCTGGGAATTAATCATTTGAAGGGTATTCATATTGCTATCTAGGAATTAATCATTTGAAGGATATTCATTTTGCTATCTGGGAATTAATCATTTGAAGGATATTCATATTGCTATCTGGGAATTAATCATTTGAAGGGTATTCATATTGCTATCTGGGAATTAATCATTTGAAGGATATTCATATTGCTATCTGGGAATTAATCATTTGAAGGATATTCATATTGCTATCTGGGAATTAATCATTTGAAGGGTATTCATATTGCTATCTGGGAATTAATCATTTGAAGGGTATTCATATTGCTATCTGGGAATTAATCATTTGAAGGGTATTCATATTGCAGTCTGGGAATTATTCATTTGAAGGGTATTCATATTGCTATCTGGGAATTAATCATTTGAAGGGTATTCATATTGCTATCTGGGAATTAATCATTTGAAGGATATTCATATTGCTATCTGGGAATTAATCATTTGAAGGGTATTCATATTGCTATCTGGGAATTATTCATTTGAAGGGTATTCATATTGCTATCTGGGAATTAATCATTTGAAGGGTATTCATATTGCTATCTGGGAATTAATCATTTGAAGGATATTCATATTGCTATCTGGGAATTAATCATTTGAAGGGTATTCATATTGCAGTCTGGGAATTATTCATTTGAAGGGTATTCATATTGCTATCTGGGAATTAATCATTTGAAGGGTATTCATATTGCTATCTAGGAATTAATCATTTGAAGGATATTCATATTGCTATCTGGGAATTAATCATTTGAAGGGTATTCATATTGCTATCTGGGAATTATTCATTTGAAGGGTATTCATATTGCTATCTGGGAATTAATCATTTGAAGGGTATTCATATTGCTATCTGGGAATTAATCATTTGAAGGGTATTCATATTACAATCTGGGAATTAATCATTTGAAGGGTATTCATTTTGCTATCTGGGAATTAATCATTTGAAGGGTATTCATTTTGCTATCTGAGAATTAATCATTTGAAGGGTATTCATTTTGCTATCTGGGAATTAATCATTTGAAGGGTATTCATATTGCTATCTGGGAATTAATCATTTGAAGGATATTCATATTGCTATCTGAGAATGAATCATTTGAAGGGTATTCATATTGCTATCTGGGAATTAATCATTTGAAGGGTATTCATATTGCTATCTGAGAATTAATCATTTGAAGGGTATTCATATTGCTATCTGGGAATTAATCATTTGAAGGATATTCATATTGCTATCTGAGAATGAATCATTTGAAGGATATTCATATTGCTATCTGAGAATGAATCATTTGAAGGGTATTCATATTGCTATCTGAGAATGAATCATTTGAAGGGTATTCATATTGCTATCTGGGAATTAATCATTTGAAGGATATTCATATTGCTATCTGAGAATGAATCATTTGAAGGATATTCATATTGCTATCTGAGAATGAATCATTTGAAGGATATTCATATTACAATCTGGGAATTAATCATTTGAAGGGTATTCATATTGCTATCTGGGAATTAATCATTTGAAGGGTATTCATATTGCTATCTGGGAATTAATCATTTGAAGGGTATTCATATTGCTATCTGGGAATTAATCATTTGAAGGATATTCATATTGCTATCTGGGAATAGAAAGAGCAGACTATAAGGCAAAGTTTACGAACAGTATGGAAAAGCCAGATGCAGAGTGAACTGATAAGGAAAATAAACCCATCTCTTTTTGGCTGTCCATGGAAATCTGATGATCCTTCTGAAAAACAACATCTCCATACTGGAGATAATAAAGATCTCACTGTGGATTAGACATTCTAGTGTTACAGAGTAATGTCCCTTCTGCCGAGGAACAGGTGCAGGAAACTTAACATCCTACCACATGCTAGATTAGAAAGAAATGGTACGGGACAGACAGACAGACAATATTTCTTCGGGATAAGAGGCATTTATATGCGTAGCGGGGGACACAGATTGTATTGCGTCAGAGATAGTATTTTAAGAATAAGCGAGATTATATGGGAAGACGTGACGTGAGACGGAACACAAAAATGTGGGTTCTTGTAGTTGTTTTCGTCATGATGGTTACTAAGTGGACAGACTCCATCTTGAGCTGGAAATAAACAGATGTGACTATAATATATATAATATTATTATATTTTTCTTACCATAATTTTAGGAGGGAAAATATAAAGAACTAAGAAGGAAAATAAGTAGAGTTCATGACCATATTGTTTGTCAGTTTTCTGTTCTGACTTGTGTGTGATTACAGAGAACATTTCCAGACAGATAAAACACTGGCAGCTGATGCTTTGCTTGTCAGAGACTACATTGATCTTCTAGAAAGACAGAGACCTGTCGATGTAAGAATAAACTGGTGGTTTTTTTTATAGTGTGGATAACTGTTAAGTAATGATGAGATTTGTATCAGTTTAGATCCATAATTGGCAAAAACAAAATTTCAGAATTCATCTGTATAAATATCATAGTTGTCTTCTCAAGCAGTGCAGCTGCTAATCTTGTATCCAGAGAAACTACAAAAGCACGATGTGTTTGTGGTCGACGCGGCCAGAAAAGCCGGAAGCAGAATTTTATATCTCCCTCGATCAGAAGAAGAAAAAAAAACCGAAGAACAAAAAGAAGAATCTTCTAAGCTATATCGAATAAATACTGGGAAAATCAAAATATTTTATTTAAAAAAAATTTTTTTTTTAAATTAAAAACAATAATGTCCACAGATAAAAAACTACAAGCCACTTAAAAATTACAATAAATAAATTTTAAAAATATCGCAAGCTATGGATGCCATGGTTCCGTAATTTACAACAATGGATGCCATGGTTCCGTAATTTACAACAATGGATGCCATGGTTCCGTAATTTACAACAATGGATGCCATGCTTCCGTAATTCACAACAATGGATGCCATGCTTCCGTAATTCACAACAATGGATGCCATGGTTCCGTAATTTACAACAATGGATGCCATGGTTCCGTAATTTACAACAATGGATGCCATGCTTCCGTAATTCACAACAATGGATGCCATGGTTCCGTAATTTACAACAATGGATGCCATGCTTCCGTAATTCACAACAATGGATGCCATGCTTCCGTAATTCACAACAATGGATGCCATGGTTCCGTAATTCACAACAATGGATGCCATGGTTCCGTAATTTACAACAATGGATGCCATGCTTCCGTAATTCACAACAATGGATGCCATGCTTCCGTAATTCACAACAATGGATGCCATGCTTCCGTAATTCACAACAATGGAGGCCATGGTTCCGTAATTTACAACAATGGATGCCATGCTTCCGTAATTCACAACAATGGATGCCATGCTTCCGTAATTCACAACTATGGATGCCATGCTTCCGTAATTCACAACATTGGATGCCATGCTTCCGTAATTCACAACAATGGATGCCATGCTTCCGTAATTCACAACAATGGATGCCATGCTTCCGTAATTCACAACAATGGATGCTATGAACTCCTGTAATAAAGAGACTGGACACAGGAGTTCAAAGGTTAAACAAGATAGAAATTGTAATGCAAAAACATCAACAGATCGAGAGTTTTGAGCTATAGTTGTGATAAGAATGATGTTCGGTGAAAGACTTGCTGTGTGAATACAACTTCTTCAAGTGCTCTGCCTCCTGGCATATATGATCATCACCATGATCATCCTCATAAACCACTTCTACTGTTAAGCGTCCTGGGTAGGAATAATTTTCGATCCAGTGCACGCTGGCTGCCATTGCTATTGTCATGCCGTGAAGGCGTAGAGTTGTATGTCATGTTGTAAGATGTATGATCATGTTGTATGATGTATGATCATGTTGTATGTCATGTTGTATGATGTATGATCATGTTGTATGTCATGTTGTATGGTGTATGATCATGTTGTATGTCATGTTGTATGATGTATGATTATGTTTAGTATCATGTTGTATGATGTATGATCATGTTGTATGTCACATTGTAAAATCATGTTGTATATCATGTTGTATGATGTATGATGATGTTGAATGATGAATGATCATCTTGTATGTCATGTTGAATGATGTATGATTATGTTGTATGTCACGTTGTATGATGTATGATCAGTAAGAATAAACTCACAGGGAGCAAGTACAGCGGGGATCTACAGTCATCAGTAGAAATTATCCTCGTCGACACACGTTTTGGCCCACGATTCCTAAACGTATTCGGAGGTGGGCCCACCTGAGTTCATGAAGCTCAGGGCTGCTTCCCCGCTGCACAGAATTACCGGATCATGTTGTATGTCATCTTGTATGATGTATGATCATGTCTGTACATAACTTCCATTGACTACCTCTATCAGTTCATGTACTGATATCTGGCCATGCCTTGATGTACAGCTGTGCGGTATCTTTGCTGTCCTCTGTCCCTTTTCCCATAAATCTTATCTGCTTTTACAGGTAGTTGTTTTTGACTCCTACTGAGGCTTTAAGTTGTAGACATGTCTTTCTGAAATTTATAATCACTTTTCCTCAATGTTCAAGCCTGATTTACCTCATTAAATTTCTCTTAATTTGTTTTGATACAACCCTTTCCATACGAAGAAAACAAACAAACTCCTCAGCACAGGTTTTCTTCTTGTTCAAATAACTTCATCTTTGTTTTTCACTTGGAATCAGTCTGTGTCTCTCAGTGTTGTCTCCTTCATCAAGTGCACTATCTTCGGCAAATTCTGCTGGTTTCAATAGAGTTCGCCAGCATGGGTTATTTAAGTTGACTGTAAAATGAACCTTTCTTAGCTGTTTTCGTTTTGTATGATTTTCTATAGTTTCAAGTGTTTGATTGTATGCACACATTACTCCAGGACATCTTTAGCTTTATGTACATGAGTCTGTTATGTCTCCTATATCCTCTTCTGATTTTTAAAATGAAATGTCCAGTCTTGACCAGTATATAAGCATCATTTTGGTTAAACATGTGAATTTCATTCATTGTGAAGTTCAAATTTCTTATTTTTGCTAGCTTCTCTTCACAGTGCACAAATTGTTTGCCTTTCTATGAGTTCTGATTCAAGGAATGGTTTTTTTTGGGGTTATTTTTAAAAATTGTTTTTTTGTTATTATTAGAAATTGATTTGTTATTATTTGAAATTGTTTTGTAAGTTCCCCATGTGGGTTGCGGAGCCTCATTATAGAGGGGGAAAAACCGGATCCACCTCCCTTCTACCAGACAGTCATGTCATAAAAGATAATCAGTTAGGAACATTTCCTTCTAAGTTGAAGTAAATTTCCCTGAGAGGTGAGGAACCAACAGTCTGCATATAAATAGGCCAGATCTGTAAAACAAATGTGCACACAAAACTCAGATTTTGGACCAAGACTCAGGTCAAAAGTTGACAAACAACCAGGCTTTCTGCCAGAGTTTACCGCCAGTGATCACAAAGAAGGAGACAATAAAGAAGTTTCTTTCTTTAGTGTTAATGCTATTTTTGCCGTACTTTAAACTTATAAATTAATTTGTTGTGAATAGGATGCAGATGCAAACCTGGAAGCTTCAGGTCAATCTACGCTGTTCCGAGACTTTCCGCGAAAAAGATCCCTGATTGATATGCCTGTGGTGACAACGTTGTATTATTGCTGTTTATATCATTATGATTTATCAGAGGTTAGTGCTTGTCATTATTTGTGTAATAATCCTTGATATGGTCATTCCTGTGGGGAAAACAAGAATAAACCCACTGCCTTCCCAACCAGCATGTCGTAGGCATCCATTAATTGTGAGCTTCCTTCAAAGTGGGAGTGCATCTGCCTGAACGGCATGTAACAACCAACTTGGTAAATCTTTGTAATCTTGGTAATCTTAGTTTCACCTTCATAGCAAACGAGTCACCGTATAGTTGCTCTGCTCCTGTGCCAACGAAAAACACACAGAATGTTCGTCGCAGTCCCTTGTGGAAAGATTGACAGACTGCTATCTCAGCATATGCATTAGCATACACACGCATTAAAATTATACGGTAGCCATCGAAAGTGCTAACACATGCAGTTTGACATTAGAAATGCAGTTCATCATCGACGGTAGCAGAAGTTACCAACAGATCAGTAGTTGCACACGCGATCAATATCAATCACACAAGGGCTCCACCAATATTGCGACGACCGACAACGTGCCATTTTCTGAGTCTACAGTTCACAACACCACGTTGGTTGCAGTCGAAAAACATTCCAGATGAAGTCCACAGCTCACAGGGTCGCGCTATGCACTCAACTCAGTAGCTGGCGTGACAAAACTATATCCTTTCAGTCTACAAATGAATCAAAAATGCAATGGCACCCGTCTGACGGAAGCAAAAAGATTTGCCTCGGCACAAAACAGTGACCGCTGGCGTCCATTTTGACCGGACCAACTGCACACAAATAAGCACAGCAAAATGGATGTACATGCAAAACTCAGGCCCTGGCACAAAGCGAAAGTCCTAATGGATGAAAACCACTGCTTTCAGTCGGAGCTTACAGCCGGTGAACAAAGAAGAAGATTCATGTAATGATTACTGACATATATTTGTGTGTATTGATTAATAAATGAATTAATCCAAGAACTGGGGTCATTCCTAAACATGCTCCATCTCCTTCTCCCTCTGCTAATAGTGCCACTTGCAACCTGATTCAACGTCGCTGTAGCTACAGAGTTGTGTGCGGACGGTGACACAGGCGGACAGTTTCTTAGCAGCTGTCCATACTGGTGGCAGAGCACTTATGGTTTTTAACCGTGTGCAATGACTCTGGTTGCTGACTTTACCTTTTGTTTTTTTAACCTGTTTAAAAGCTTATGTGTGTCCCTCTGTGTTGAATATCACACAGAACCCCGGCTTACACCCTCCCCCACTCGGTTAATTATAATGTATGAATACTCTCTTCTGGTCCACTTGCTCTTAGAGGAAAGCCTTCCCCACATTCGCTTTCTGACAAAGTAACTCACTACCCAGAGGAGCCACAGTAGCCAGTCTATCAGCTGGTATGTTACCCTACGCACCAGAACAATTCGTGATATGCTCCTGCTGTTCTGCTGACTCTTCCTGGGAATGTCACGGGTGGTGAGCATACTTTGGGTCTTTTCTCCAGGCAATGCCGGCGTGGTGGGCAATGAACAGGCAGACAGATTGGCTGGATCTGCACCACTGGGAGGTGAATTGATACATGACAAGGCAGATGTGGTCAAGGCCCTTTGGAAACAAGTAACTGAATCAGTAGAGAAAGAAGATTATTATGGCCTGGAGAGAATGAGGCACCTGAGTGTAACCAAAGGATCTGGCCGGCTCACTACACATTGGAAAGGCAAGATGGACATATAACCAGATTGTGACCGGTAC